TTTATGAGAACATACATAACTTTATGAATAAATAATAAAATATCATGTTAATAGTAAAAAATTACGTCAGAATAAAATATAAACTTGGTAAAAGATATAAAAAGTGTGAAATTATTGTAAAATTCTTCAGGTCGGGAGTTCGAATCTCCTCTGATACAGTTGGTCTTAAAGAGGTGGGACTCAAATTTTTAGACGGTGTTTAGACGGTGTACCCCAGTCCGTTGGTTGATATCCACTGTATAAGACCCCTCAAGACAGGGGTTCAAATCCCATATGACACGGTTGATCTTAAGAATCTGATACTCGAATTATTAAACACGTTAGGGATGATTGGGGGCTCGTATAATATCCGTTGGTTGATATCCACTGTATAAGATCCCTCAAGTCAGGGGTTCGAATCCCATCTGACACAGTTGGCCTTAAGAATATGATGCTCGAATTGTTAAACACGTTAGGGATGATTGGGGGCTCGTATAATAGCCCCTGTCTATTTACTTGAAATATATATAATATAATATATCTAAATATAAAAAAATGTGGAATCATGAAGCTAGCCCAAATAAAGCTAATAACGACGATAATCATGATGATCATGCAAATTATTTTCAAATTGTAATTGCACATTTGATAATCTTTATTGATAATTAGTAATATATTTTCTTATTTCTTATCATTAGTATAGGAATTTTCCCATGGTGTGGGCCCCACAATTTTTTTTTGAGATGATGTGAAGTCTTATCTTCATTTATCCCTAACAACTTCGAGTCTTATCTTGAAGCGGTGAAGTGGTTGTTCGAATGATTTACATATATCCCACAACAAACTTATGTATTTACATAACTACCACCTAAATGTAAATCTTTATATATATACCACTTTACATATGCTTTGAAATTGTCTCTGGCTTTTGAAAAGTTAGCACAAGTAGTATTTTTTGTTAAATAAATGATTTCAGTGTTATAAATGCAGAAATTACAATTTAGGTGTTAGATATGTAAATACATGGGAATGTTGTGGTATGTATGTAAACACCCCTTTTGTAATTTATGAAATTAGTATTCTCCTACGTCATCTTCTTTTAATTTTAACCCATTGATATTTTGTTTTTGTCGAAGTTTCAAAGATTTGATTGTGGCGAATGTAAATAAACGAATTTAGTGGTTAAAAAATGAATATTAATGCTAGTTTTATAAATATGTAAATTTTGAATGTTATATATGTAATTATGCCTTATTTAATTTAAATTTTGAAAATTTCAGGCTATTGTATTTTAAGATTTTCAGGATTTTTCTTATAAAAATATCTCCTAAATATAGAAATAAGATCTAATTATAAATTTGTGCAGGGGCCATATTGCAATTATTTCTATCTTATTATTTTTTATTATCTTTTTAACACCTAAATAGGGGATGTTAGTATTGGGTAACGCGTTATGAGTAAAAATAATCAATTGTAGGGATGGCTACGTGGTTGGGATAGACTCCCCAATTTTACTTCCCTCTACCCGAGTCTTCGAAGCTAGATTGGTGATATGTTTTAATTTTTGTACATCCCAAGTTGGCCGGAATCATACTTGCCTGTGAATTGTTTGTAGCAGCCGCACACCATTTCTATCTCGGTCAATTACATTTACTCTCTCAACTCTTTTCACACTCTGATCAACTTGTACCAACCGTGTGTGCTTTCTATCTTGGTCGACTACATACACTTTCTCAACTCTTCTTGCACTCGGATCAACAAACACAAGCCAACATGTTTTACCAGTTGATGCTCCCATCTGTCGAACATTCAACGTCTCTTATTTTTCAGTTGCCTCTCTGCCAAACTCTCACGTTCATTCTCATTTGTTGAAAGGACTTCTCCTCTTCTAGGCAAACCACATAATTACATCATATTTGAAATATTTTTACTTTATTTTTATGTTAGTTGCTCGGATTCGTGGTTGCTAGTAGAGACCAAAGGGCACACTTATATGGGTCTTGTTAACGTTCTCGGGCCAAGGCAGCATGAGCAACATGTAGCTCCATGTTCTTTACTTCCAACACTTTCCTCTAAAAACTTGTGTTGAAACATCTTAGCGATTCATCTTGTTATTTTCACCTCCTCATTAGAGTTTGGGAGTTCATATATAGCTTTTTCGTGCACATGTACTGAGCGGAAAACTACCTTTTGAACTCAGCAAAGAACGTATTCACCCTCGACGGTAAGCAATTGAACAATGATATAGAGGCAAGAATCTAGGGATGTTCAGATTATGATCAAATCTCGAAAATTAACATTGAATGCTTAGAATAAGAAATTTTTTAAGCAATGTGATCAACAAATATTGAAATAAGTATATCGAGTCAATTTCAAATGCTGAGAATTAAGATCTTCAATTTAGGTTTAGAACATGTCAAAATATCACGCGACATAGATATAATAAATTTGAATATGACCCGAATAAATTATAAATCATCACAATCCTACACGAAGTATTTCAATCGTCATAGATTGATATCAACATGACATGGACACAATTACTCCATTTTTAACAGTAATGCAATAGAAAACTATATTTAAATAATTAATTTTCATTAAAAGGTCAGTGTTTTATGGATTTTAGGGTTTTCTCATTTTTCCCTGCTCCTCTCAGCCACCAATTGTCAGCCCGACCGCCTCCGCAGGAATTGGAGGTCTGAACTCTCTGGTTCAGGTTGACCACTTAGCAGCTTGAAGGCCACAAGTGTTGCTTTCAGTGTGCTTTCCTCAGTGCCGCCTTCATCCGTGCGGACCCTAACACTAGCAGCAGCTGGAAGTGTGCGTATAGGCTGGTCTCTTTCCATTTTCTCTCACTCTGCGCAGTCTGAATGCATATTTGTATTCTCATTCGAACCTTATATGATTTTGTAGCTCTGCCTTTTCTTCTACGAAGAGCTCTTCAATTGCTTCTGGTAAATCGCGTTTTTGTTTATGGAGAAATTGGTGCTATAATTGCGGAGGCCGATATTTATTTTTGCTTTTTTTATTGTTGAATTCTTTCATAAGGTTGTAGACTTGTAGTGGAGTCTGGCTTGCTTCTGCATTTAGGAAAATTTTCTGAAGAATCATCCCTCAACAATGAGAAAAACCATGTTATTGTCTTATGGACTTATGGTTCTACTAAAAAATCTTTGCTTGTATTGCCCATTTGGATAGTTCGAATGTTTGGCACTACATCCAAGCATTTTGTTTTATTTGTTAGATAATTTGTGTTTGGTAAGTAAGGGGGCGTTTGGCTGCAAGTAGGATTTAGCATTAGTAGTATTTAGTAAACCTGTAAATCCATTCTACTCCTGGATTTAGTAAAATTCGATTTGAGCCAAATCGAAGGCAAAATTTAAGTACCTAAATGCAAAAAATTCATAAATCCATGGAACTTCTGTATTTTAACGTTTGGCTGGATTTAGTAAATTCGGTGATAAGTCATATTAAAAGATGCTAACCAACTCCCCATAAGAGTGAATCTAATGGAGGCAACATCTTTCTTATTTGCTAAAAATATTGCTCAGATGTTGTACAAAACATTGGAGTGTAAATTAGTGATTGTTTTATGGTTGGTATTTTATATTGTATATTATATTGTGCTTATTGTACAATATATTGTGCCTGAGTGAATAAATCTACATAAGTGGGTAAATTGTGGATCTAAATATATTTAGCCTATGGCCAAAACATGGGATTCATTATCTCGCAAGAAGCACAAAAATAAGGGGAACAGTAAATGCTGCATTTTTTATTTGTTAAAAAAACTTCATTGCCACTTTTTTTTCTTATTTCGGGAAAGCTGAACCATGAAACTTTACTGATAATGATGGAGAAACTTTGACATGCTTTATTAAAATTGTCTAAAGCATCACTTTGAGTCATTGGGTAATTAATACCCTTTGTCAAATTTTTCAGAGAATTTCATTGCTGATCTTGCTGTCTAAGTGTTTGATGGAGAGCTGTAGTTTAAGTTTTTAAAATTTTCTAAAGCTAGTGCTCATCTATATAGTAATGGTGCAATAGCAAATTGATATAGTTGACATTATTTTTAATTCCCCTGATAATCACTTGAATTTTAAACCAACTTCATTCTATATTGATTTTCTTTGCCCCAAAGATGACCCAAAGTTAGTTCGGTTCAACTCAAAATTGGCTCGACTTATGTATAGACATAGATGTGTGTATGTTTTCTTATACAATAGATAATCGTGAATGCTATCAAGAAATATTTGTATATATTTATACGATTTTTTACGGTACTTTATTCTGAATTCGTGGGATTAACATATGGATTGGAGATTATTATCTTTCTTATTCTTATAGGAACATTTACATAAATATTTTTAATTATTTGTATTCTATCTGTTCGATCTTGATTTTTCAGTGAATTTACACAACTAAGGAAAGATTTAAATAAGGAATATTTTGAGTTAAGGAAGGTAAAGAGACAATAAAGAAAGATTGGACTTTTTTTAAGTGTACAAGAGATAATCCCCTTCACATTACAATGTTCACCCCATATTTATAAAGAGGTTCATTTAGGTATTATAAATCAAGTACTCATTACACTCAGGTGTTAAAAAATTCTCATTCTATCACCCGAGCTGAGATGTGCCTTGCCTCAAAAAAATGCCTCAAAAGTTTTAAGCTATTGGTATTTTTTTTTAATAAAATTAAAAGTAATATCATTATACCTCTTATATTAAACCTTACACATTACACACTGAATAGCAAGAAATAAAAGAAAAAATATATCTATAAAAATTTCTATAGCTGAAGTTCTAAGTATCAATATAATTATTATTTTAACTAATAATCCCAACAACTGGCATGGCCAACCTACCAACCTAATCCCCAATTCATCTTCATTATTTGTTGCATTTTCCACCACAATGCTGGGCTCCACCAAATGGCAACCAACCCATCATTAACAATAGTTGAGAGTTGTGGGTAGACATTAGCCAGCCCATCAATAATAGGATGAAGATAGGTATATTCTTTATTTTAAGCCTAGGAAAAATCTCTATATATAAAAGGTTGTTGACCAACCAAATGCATCTTAATCAAAATCGAACTCTAATCCTTAATATGTAAGTAGCAAATGTTCAACCTTCATTCATATTGAATAAAAAAAATTATCTTGTTTGGTCCCAAGTTTTGAGAACATTTCCTAAAGGAAACAGAATGCCTGTCCATATTTATGTCTCCATATTGAGAGAAGATTATCTTAATTTTTATTGTTTGATACATAGAAGATTTCTCTTGTTATGAATTTGAAATTCGATGGCAATATAAGTTACTAAAACGTGCATTTTCTTAACTAGTTCCAAAGATATTTTGAATACAATGATGCAATCATACTCAAAAGATGAGATATTGACTTAATCTATAAACTTAAGACAATTCACGCCACCAATTATTGCATTCTCTCAATTATTGAACATTATAACAAAATAAAAAAAATTGTGGCTCAAATTCAACTAACACCAACGCTTCAAAAAGGGCAGTAATTTGGCTCCATTGTATTCTGATGGGTTATCTATCCTTCTATATTCCAATCTTTGCTTTCTGCATTATTCAATAAAATAAAAAAAAGAAAAAGTTGCAGCATGATTTATGTCAAATGGCCTATGTTATCCTTTAAGCCCTCAAAAGCTCCATGCCTTTCTCCTTAATCCATATTGATGTATGGTGTCCATCTTGTATCTCTAATATTAATGGGGACATATGGTTTTTCTGTTCAAAGATTATTACACTCAAACTATTCATAATCAACAATAAATTTAATGCAACTGAAGTCCATTCCATATTCTATAAAATGATTCTTTCCCAATTCGACACTAATATTAAAATTATTGGATCTATTAATGGGAAGAGATATGTTAATCAAGCCATATTTCTTTTCTCGTAAGAAATGCATCTTCCAAGAATCTTCTTGGATTGAAACTCCACAACAAAGTGAGTTTCTAAAACAAAAAAAAAAAAAAAAGCCACCTTGAGACCATTAGCACCCTACTCGTTTAAATGAATATTTCAATATTTTATAGGGTAGGCTGCCTTAATCACCTCTTTTCTAGTGAATCACATTTTATTTAGTATATCACAAAATAATGCACCTATTAAAACTCTCAAATAATTTTTTTTCTGACTTGAATTGTCACAACTCCGACTAAATCTTTTGGTAGAGTTGCTGTATCAAAGCTCTCAAAGCACTTAACTTGATCCATTTTTTTTTGAAATGCATTATCCTCAGATACTTGTCGATTAAAAAATTCATAAGTTTTAGCACTCAAGTACTAATATTTTTTTTATCTATCGTAATGTTACTTTTATTGATAGTCAAGTATCTTATGACTATGACTAAGGTTGTTGTTATGGTAAGCTGTGAAATTAAGGCTACCCTAATTTTATAACTTTGATCTTTGAGCATCTCCCCAACTAACCTTAATAGTTTTGGTTAACACCCTACTCTTTAGATAGCTTCAGCGTTTCCAAAAAAGCAATCACAACATTGCTCTACGTAAACCATTCATCTAAGTTTACTCAATGAGGAGAGAATCAAGCTCTGAAAAAAGTTGCCCAATCATCTGAATTTGTATGAGATCGGGTCACGCCACCATGCAATGAAGGTATGGAATCTATTCCCATGTTAAAAACTAAGATGATATTTGTATTCCAGTTGCACAAAATGAGATAAATTTTTTCTCTCAGCATTTTCTCAGCATACATTATCTTCCTCATTGATATAACTAATTTCAAGATTTAATGAATATCCAAGAAGCACCTGAGAATAAAGAATGGAAAAAAAATCATGACATGAGAGCTCTAAAAGAAAACCATACCTGGGAGGTGGTACATTTATTATAAGGTAAGAAATTATTGGATGCAAATGGGTTTACACTGTTATGAACAGGTCAAATTGACATTGAATAGGTATGAAGTTACATTCATTGCAAAAGCTTGCATCCAAATTTTTGAGATTTATTATGAAAACACTTTTGCACCAGTTGCAAAATTAGATTTCATTTAGATGCTTTTTTTCTTTGGCAACCAGCCCTATTATAACCATCTGATATAAGAAAAATTTTTCATACATGATGTTCTTGAAGAAGCATTTTTTTAACCTTACTATGCTTCAATTATGAATTCAACATTAATCATGCATGTGGACTAGAGGACTTAGATAGACCAAAATAGTCTCGAACGACATTCTTTGTGAGATTCATTGAAGCCACGAAAATAATGAATTTTATTCTCTATTCATAAAGGATCCAATGAAAATAAAATCACAGGTTTGATAGTCTACGTGTATGAAATAATTATACTAAGAGGGTGATTTTAGAGAAGATTAAAAACAATCATCTAAAGAATTTGAAGTAAAATTATGTGAAGGCACAAATATTTCCTTAGAATAATAAAGACTTGGGATCTTTATCTCGCAACTAAAATATATCTTGGATCTAAATGAATATGTTTTATGGAATGCAACCATTAAAAATGTCAATTGATTATTGTTATAAACTTTGAGAGGCATGAGTTGACGAAGGAAGGTATCAAAGCATGATTGGAAGCTTATCATTTGAATATTAGATGTAGCCTATGCTGTAAGTGCTAATTCAATTCAGGCATAACCTTAAAGAAGTTCATTTACATGCTTCATGTACAACTTTAGTTATTTCAAATCAACCCCAAAAAATTAATCTTAACTAAAACAAATGGAAGACTCAGCCTTGAGGCATACACAAGCATTGATTGCATAGGATTATTCATAGATAGGAAATCTACTACTGGTTATTACACTTTTCTGGGAGGAAATCTAGTCATGCTGAGTAGCAAGTATTAATCTATTGTTGGAGTTGAAATTTCGATTGATGCCCCAATATCTACACAAAATATCATGAATTTAATTAATTATAAATGACTTGGAGCAATTTTGGAAGATTCTATAAAATAATATTGCAGTAATAAATCGATTAGCAACATTGCACAGAATCCAATCTCATATGGTCGATCAATACACATTAAAATTGATCGTCTCTATACAATGAAAAAAATAGAAAGTTGATATCCCATATTTTTAGATGCATAATTAGCTTATCGACATTCTAATTAAAAGACTCTTCGTATTCCAGAATATCACCACCAAATTTGGTATGGATAATATGTACTTCACTGCTTGATGATGAGAGTTAGTGGGATTCCCAGCTGGCGAGCGAATTTAGGTGTTGCATTCCAATTTGTGGGACTGGCCTAGCGGTTGCAAGCTATAGCTTGCCTTATTCTTATATGAGTATCTATTGAAATATTGTTAAAACTTTGTACTAGTGGTCATTTTCATCACCATGCGTCCTCCAAAGAAGGAATTGCCCGGTATAGATAGAATCCTGCTGTATAAACAGAGATGTAAGATTCTCAACGAGACATCCATGAATTCAAGCAAATTCTCTTTCTTCATTCAAATTATGGACTAAATGAGAAATGTGAACTAGTGATGAAAATTGAAAGGCCATTATTGCCTCTCATATTAAACAAGTTCATATTTTTTCTCTCTCAAGAGAAGCTTTATTTAGATTTGTGTTCTAGATCATTATAGTGTTACGTGGGCGCTTGTGTAAGGGTAAATTTGTCTTTTGTATGCCTAAGGAAATTTAGTCTTTTATTATTATTATTGTTGGGTATAAATAGAGTTGTTATGTTTAGTGTTAGGGTTATGCATAAGATTGAGTGGTGAGTTTTAGGTTTAGGGTTTGTGAGAGATTTCCTATGTCTCGAATTGTAGGAATTGTGAGAGATCGCTTACCTATCAAATTGTAGGTGTTTATCTTTGTATTCTTGTTGAGTTGGTTGATTTTTTGTCCTAATTTTTTTTTTTGAAAAACATGTTGATTTTAATGTCAGATTATATCAAAATGGTATTAGAGCATCGATCTGAGAATTTGGAAAGAATTATTAATTTTTCTGCTTAGATTGTTTTCTCTTGGAGGAAGGATCCTCTTGCAAAAAGTTTGGATACACATGCAATCGACCTGTTGCAGGGACGTGAGTACGGGATCTTGGAGTAGGCAAATCATTGGTTCGTGGCTTATAGGGAACCACAATTTCTTTTGTTCTCCTTTTTCCACACCGTCCTCACAAAGTAGTCGTGATTTGTGCTGGCGAGGAAGGCGAACAAGACCATGAGGTATAGGGAAGCGACATATAGAGACCTGGAACTCCATTTTCCGACTGGTGCGGTGCCGCCTTCATGACTGAACACTGTGATACAATCACTCCATCAATGCGATACAGTCGCGATTAGAGCTAGCTAGGAAGGCAAAATTTGGTGAGTGGTGCTTACATCTTTTGGTGATGCAAAAAAAAAAAATCTAGAAAGAATGATAGCTAAGAAAGTAGATGATCTGGATAAGAAATTACATGAAGAAATCAATCAAATCAGATTTGGGATGGAAGAATGGTTCGCCTTCTTAGATGATAAATTTTCTTCTCTGGAGAACCGACTAGAGGACCGATTCGAGAGCATGGGAAAAATTCAAGAGATAATAAAGAAGTTTATTGAGATGCAATCCAATTCCTTGTTATCAGTTTAATTTGCAAATTTTACCTAAGGGTTGACCAGAGATTCATTGGCTAAGTCGAAAGGAAATGAGATTTAACATGAGAAACATTAGAAGGAAAACATCCTCCATCATGGACCCCCTCTCAGATCTCTGATGAGGGGTGGGATTAAACATTTTTGAAGGAGGTGGTTAGGCTGAAACATTGAGAAAAGATTATACAAGAGGTGTGGGAGAGCACGAAGAAGAAAGGAGAGGAGGGAGGGGATATGACTACGATCAAAGGAAGGAGGTTTGCACTCGATACATGGGGGAAACAACGGAGGAAGAGGAAGTTGGGGTGGAAGATGTTGATCGTTGAGTGAGAAGACGCACATGGGTCGGTGTATCGGGCTAAACGATACTTCTCAGTGAATGGGCTTGATGGGGGAGGAGAAACTCATGGTAGCGGGGTTATGTTTTGAGGAAGAACTCTAGCCTGGTTTCAGTGAAAGGAGACTAGATACCCAATCCATTCGTGGGAGGAATTCAATGATTGTTGGAGCATTTTGAGCAATTTGGGAAGGAGACCTACACAAACAATTCTATGCCTCAACTCATGATGGGACTATCGTGAACTACGAGAGAGATTTGAGCTATGTCAGGACCGTTAAGGGGGATTTCTGAAGTAGGATTGAAGAAAAAAATTATAAAGGGCATAAAGCCTAACATGCGGGCATCTCTCCGACCATTGAGACCGCAGGATTTGAGGGAGAAGATGAAGCTAGCTCAGATGGTTGAGGACAAAAATCAGATGAAGAAGTCCAGAAGGAGCAACTCAGATGGAACACCGTACTGAACTACTAGAACCACGATGATACCAAAAGCTCAAACAATGGAAGTCCAGAGGGAGGCTGCACAGGACATGAATAATCATGAATAATGGACCACGGCCGGCCGGTAGCACTACTCAAGCGTCTTACAAAGATAGAGATTTGAAAGAAGTGAGCTAAGGGGATATGTTTTCAATGTGATGGGAAGTTTACCTTAGCGCACCCTTGCAAGGATACAAAATTACAAGTTTTCATAGCGAATGGCGAGGAGGCAGAGAATGAAGAAATAGAGACAGCTGTGTGGGAGGAAGAGGAACACTCACTTTTTCCCACCCTGAGGACAATGTGTCTTTTGTGGAGAGAATATTGTTACGTGCCAAGCCTAAGGTCAAATTTGTCTTTTGTATGCTTAGGGGAAATTTAGGCTTTTATTATTATTATTATTGGATATAAATAAACTTGTTATGTCTAGGGGTAATGTTATGCATGAGATTGTGTGGTGAGTCTTAGTTCTAGGGTTTGGGAGAGATTTTTACCTCTCGAGTTGTAGGAATTTGAAGAGTTCGCCTAACTCTCGAATTGTAGATGTTTATCTTTATATTTTTGTTTAGTTGTTTGATTTATTGGAGAAATATTGTGTTTGCCCTAATTTTTTTTTGGAAAAACATGCCAATTTTTAGGTCGGATCTTATTATACGGTTTTGAAGTTCTCTGTGCAGAGGGTTCTCTTCGTTGTTTGTTGTTTGGGGCCCTAAAACTATCTTGGAAGTTTGAAACAAAGGCTGAGAAGAAGTTCCTAATCAAAGGTTTTACAATCTTAGTTTCCTTTGAAGATTTCTTGTAATTTGCTCTCCTCGCATATCTTCCTTCTTTTTTGAAAATTTTGAAATCTTACTTTTTTTTATGTCAATTTCATTGATTTCTTAGACACCTCTTCTATGTAGTTTTATGGTAATTGGAAATGCTTATATTATAGTGTAAAGTATTCCCACAAATTTCTATCGTTCATTTGAAAACTGTTTCCATTAGGCTTTAGGTCCAATCAATTGGATCAATATTTTTTTTCTTTATCTCTTACTATTTAAATAAGGAAGATTTACATACATACCACTCAAGTTCTATGTATTTACATATCTAACACATGAACTTCAATTTTCCATACATGCCACCTTTCCTATGCATGAAAAGGTGCATTTCACTTTCAAAAGTTAAAATGGTGATATTTTTATGTGATATGAAAGATTTGGATGGTATGTATGTGAAAATTGAAGTTTAGGTATGTTAGATAAGCAAATAAATAGGAGTTGGATGGTATGTATGTAAATGCCGCTTTAAATAATTTATCTTTCAAACAGTGGCCCTGCAAATTTGGAGTGCCCGCTTACAATTATGAGGCATGAGTTTGTTTTCCCCATGCCTTTTGCTGGATCAAATGTAATCAATGCCTATGTTATACTAGCCTATTCATGATCACCGTAATTAAGATGATGCATTGAGTCAACAATTTTCATGAATTGTCAACCAAAAGAAGAAATTTGATAAAAAGGAATTGAAAAAGAGGTGTCTAATAAAGACGGACCCAATAGTTTTTCAAATATTATATTAGTTCTGCAATGCTGGATTATACTTATTATGTCACTTAGTACTAATGTCCTGAAGAGCATTTGTCTTAAAAACACATTATTTCAGGCTGAATTTGTAGTTTGTTTTTATATTGATTTTCATCTCAGACTATCATTTTGTGCATTTTCTTCTGCAGCTCTATTTTCATGGATGAGGCAGGCGGTCGTGAGGAGTTCATTTTTTGGCCTTTCTACTGTAACTTGGAAAAGAAGCATATGGCATACTGGCGTTAGAGTGATTGGTATTGATTCTCACACGTCTGGATTTCCTATTAGGTGCTTTGCTGCTCGGAGATCACGCACTTCACGTTCATCAAAAGCAAGTCTTAAGCCAAAAATGGCAGACGAATCTGATGCTTTTTACGTTGTTCGGAAAGGTGACATAGTTGGCATCTACAAAAGACTAAGTGACTGTCAAGCTCAAGTTAGCTCTTCGGTAGCGTCTCTTCCCATATTGATTTTTTAGATTACTTTTTTTCCACTTGCTTTTTTCTTTGATTCATGATAAGCATTTTGCATAATTTAAATATTGCACTTAGATGTACTTAACCATATATTTCTTTTATCTCGAAGAAATATCTTATTTATGTTATTGATTTTTTGTTTCTTCTATATCAGGAAAAATTTTTCATTATGTAATTTTATATTCGTTCTGGACTGGTTCGTTTGGGGCAGCTTATAAGTGCAGGCGGCGTTTTGAAAACGCCGCCGTACCGTTTGGTTCGCGCGTTTCGCCAGCTTATCCGAAACTGCGTTTGGATTTTTAAATTAAACGCGGGCCGCGGGTCGACTTCTGCGGCCTGCCCGCGGGCCGCGTTTCAGATAAGCAGCTTATCCTGAAACGCAAAAGTTGCCCCAAACGGACCCGTACTCTTCAAAAGGCCGTTGTTGACTTTTTTCCCCTCGAGTTCAACATTATATTGTTGATTTAGAGATCAACGACAATACCACCAAAGCGTTTTTTTTATGTCGACAATTCAGATTATTTTTTTCTTATTGAGTACAACCAACACTATTTGTGCTCGTTTTCCTTTTCTATCATATTTAGTCCTAAAATTTTTGTTTAATACTGATTTTTTTATAGAAAAAATATATATGTAGCACAAGTTTCTTATGTATTTATTTATCTTATATCTAAACTTTCATATTTACATGCATAGCAATTTAGTGTTTTAAACCTATGCATGAAAAGGTGCATCTCACTTTTAAAAAGTTGCAGTAGTACTAATATTTATGTGGTTTAAATATTTGAGTGCTGTCTGCATAAATATGGAAGTTTTGGTGTAAGATATGTAATTACATAAGAATTGTGTGCTATGCATGTAAATGCCCCTTTGTTTTATCTAAACCACTGTTTTATTAAAATCCTTCTGTTTGCGTATTCATTACATTTGGGAGTGAATACAATCATTTTTTCTCACTTAATTGACACTTTTACCTTTTACTTCGATTTTAAAATAGTAATTTAATTTACAATTTGGTTTCTATGATGGCGCTTGGCGCTGATCATTTTTTAACTAAAATTCGTGCTCTTGAATGCAATTAGGTGTGCGATCCTTCAGTTAGTGTTTACAAAGGTTACTGTTTGCGCAAGGAAACCGAAGATTACCTTGCTTCTCAGGGGTTTAAAGATGCTTTATACACCATGCATGCATCACATTTAAAGGATGATATGTTTGGTAGCATTGTGGCTTGTCCTTTCCAGGTAAGCACTTTAACAAACATTTGTTTAATTGGCTTTTTGGGAGTGGATGTTGTTAACTCTTTGCAAGCAATTGTTGTGATTATAGGCATTTTGGTTGTTGTTTTCTAATTTAATAGAAAGAGATTATATACACAAACACGCAGAAACATTAGAGAAAAAAAAAGGAAAAAAAAAAAGAGAAGATATCATACAGTGCTAATCAGATGTAATAATGTAAGGCTTCTTTTGGATTAGTTGGAATTCTCAAGTCTACCATAGCTATTTTGATTTTTCTAACACTTTTATTCCAAGAAGAAGAAATTCAAAGGCAGACCAAACTGATGATATACCCAAATATTCTATCATCAGTTATTTTCTTCTTAAAGCAAGTGTTGTTTCTCTGCCCACAAATAGTTTGAACAGGTGCGTTGAAGAAAAAAATTGGAAATATCTAATTCTAGGTGCTAGATGTGTAACACATAAAAAATATGTGGTATGTGTGTAAATTTTCGTTTATGTTTGATGTTTTACCAAAAAATTCACATGATTAAGTACACATCTTAATGCCCTTTGGATGTGAGAGTTTTTAAAGTCAAATACAAAATTATCGTTGCTCCAATTTCAATAAATTTATAATCAAATTGAATGTCTCGATAATTCAAACTTGATGACACCAAAATGTTTTGAGCCAAATTTAAATGAGCTCAAATGAAGCAATTGGAGTATGATTGAGAACTTTGAAGTAATTTAAAGATCAAACGATCTTTGAATTTGACACGCTTATACTTGAATTAAGAGCTCAATGAGAGAAATATATTGAGCTTGATATCACTTAAATTTGAGGTCATTAAGATATGTAAATACATAAAGAATGGTCTCAACAAAATCAATATGTATGTGCTTACCTGGAAAGGACAATTAAACAAATTTGAGCGTAAACATAATCACTTGCTACCAAGAATGATTGCTAGAAATGCCACTTAATCATAATGCCATCTTAAACATAATCACTTGATAATGGGCATTTGAGCATAAACATAATCAAATTATAATTAGTGAGCACATTTGTTTAATCAAGAATGAACGTTAATGGAGCATTTCTAAAATTTTGGTTAGATTTATTGAAATGTGATTTTAAATAATTGTAAATAAATCATTCTCTATGTGGAAGAGAGATCGGATAGTTGACAACTAAATATGAACTTGTGAAGAGAGCTAGACCAGTAATCTTGCCTACCACCACCAACAGTTATTGTAAACCCAACTATTGTTATGCGACTATTATTGCCTTAGTGTTCTTGCCCAATAATTATCACTTAATTGATATTGTCGCTTGACAATTCATAATTTTGTAATATTATTTTGTTTAGTTGAGGAGAAGAGTAAAAGTTTCTAACATAAATTATATTGTAAACTATTTTAAATAGGATTTCATTTTTTTGGGCTTTTCACGTAAAAAAATTGCTCTCTTATCACTCCCATCTTTGTTTTTGTTGGATATTCTATTAAGCTAAGACTTGAAATTTTTTGTCATAAAACTTTTTTAATATACAACAGTTTGACATCTATGACGAATGAACAAACTTTTGTAAGCTTTATAAATACTTTTTCAATGGTCAACAAACGTGATGCTTGCAACAATTGGGTCTCCCGTTTTAACACCAACCATTTTAAGAAACAATTTCTAAACCAAAAATATCATGCCTCTACCTTTCTTTTCCTCAGCAAGCATTACCCTACTACTAAAAGTGTGCCAACTTCGTCTCTGGAAGCTGATGTGCAAAATAAAAGAGTCCTTGACTGAGAATTTTTAGCTCCTACGTAAGGTTTATATTTTAGTACTATCACAACAATTTGGCATTCATTTGCCCCAAAAGTGCTCACTAATTATAGATGCCCAACACGAGAACACATATTTGGCCAACCTCACCGCCATGTTGTAATTCCTCTCCCACCATGTTATGATGTTTAACTCATTAACATTGACACTTGATCATCTTGTGTGGCCCAACTAACCCACAATCCTGTAACACTCATTTGAAATTTGACATAATCTCTTCTTGATGACACTAATTATAGATGCTCAACACGAGAACACATATTTGGCCAACCTCACCACCATGTCAGAAGTCCTCCCCCACCATGTTATGATGTTAAACTCATTAACATGGCACTTTAACCCCATCATCTCGTGTGGTCCAAATAACCCACAATCCTTTAACATTCATTAGAAACTTGACATAATCTCATCTTGTTGGCACTTATTTTTATATCATATTTGACAAATTATGATGCTTGGTTAAAAAAGAGTTCTTTGAGGGTTACAAATCATTTTCGAGTCCTTCATACTTTTTAGGAATCCTTATATTTAATAGGACAATTCTTTTGTACTTCATTCAAGTGAGTTTCAAGCTTTAAGAAATTAACTCTTATATTGGTGCATCCGACATCTACAAACACATTGAACACTGTAGGACCATCATGCATATTCAATGAGCTTTAGGTGTGTTCTTTTCTCGACTTTTTCTCCCACCCTCAAAGGTCAAACTTGCACCATATTTTACTCTCCCAGTGGGGGATAGTCTACACCTTCAACAAACTCATTATACATTTTGTAGAATGCTTTATTATAAATCAAAGAATCATTATATAATCATTACAACTTTATGGAATTAATCAAAATGAGGGAAATACCCATAAATAGTATTTTTAAAGATTCTCCATAGAGGAGTCTTTGTAAGGGCTCCATTTTTTGTCTTTCTACTTGTCATTAATGCGGGCTATAGTATGCTTATAGATCGAAATTAGTCATCCTGCAACTTTGCAAATTTCTACGGATGAAGCCATTAATGTATATCAAAAGCAAGTTGAACTGTTTTTTGGCAAATCTTGCCTCGGTAGGAAGCTAGTAGTGGCAGGGTCACCACAAAAATGACTTTGGAGGGCAATTGATGGACAAGATGTGCACTCATAACCCTTGTAATAATATATGATAAAGTTGATGAAAAGTTAGCTGTTGATAGATTCTTGATCAGGAAAAACTATAAGAGCAAGTGCTTTACAAGATTTTCATTTATTAAGAAAACTCATAATACAGACTTGTTGGCATCAATTTTTAATGTCGCGTGTAGGGTGTCCACCTGTATGACTCAGCATAGTTTACGACCTGTCTGTAACATCCGATAGTTTAGACACTCGCCCAGGATCTTTCTACACGTGTTAAGGGGCACGTAGCCGGGGTCATTCTGCTAGGATTTGACTTGTGCTTAGGCGAAAACCGATCAACATTTTGCTGGTTTGATGGCTTCGGTCGGGCCAACATAATGTTATTCGCTACGTTGCACGAGAAATTGACTCAAATTAGCCTGTCCACCAACGTGCCTATTCGGATGACTCTGGATGACGAAATGGACCACACGAGTGTGTCCAGGATGTCGATATTACTTAGAGAGGGCGTCCATTTCGCTATGACTTCGCATGCAGACTTAAAATGTACAAATTATTGTTTTTGACCCGATCGTCAGAAAGTTGCCCAAATGACTCTAGATGACGAAACATATTGCACGATTGCGTCCAAAATGTTGATTTTACTTGGGAAGGACATCCATTTCCCCACAGCTTTGCGGGCGAGCTAAAAATGTGTGAACTATCATTTTCGCCCAATCGTCGAAAAAAGTAGTCCAAACGACCCCGGATGACGAAACGGACCACACAATGCTTCCGGAATGTCAATTTTACCTAAGAAATACCTTTATTTCACCATGATGGGGCGTTCGGCGAAAAATGCGTAGAGAACTTTAAATAATAATAATAATAATATTAATATTATTATTGTTATAAAAATAAAAAAAACTTTTTCTTGTTATATTCCATGCAACTCCCTCTCTCCCTTATCTCTTCCGCCCACTATCTCGAGCCGCATGGCTCACTCCTAGCTCTCTCTCTCACGGAAGCTTGCTCGTACCTCACTCCACCCTAGCCGACCTTCTCCTCGTCGCTGGCGAAGACCGCCGGCCTTCTTCTTGTCTCCGACAAAGACTACCGCCGGCGTCCTGCCTCCTTCGCCTGCTCTCACAAAAAACTCTCACCTGAGCCTTCTTCCCCCGCCGGCATACTCGGTTGTCGGAGCTCTCGTCCTCGCCGAGACGACTAACCGCCAAGCCTTCTCTTGGTTTGTTTCATACAGGAATTGAAACCCCCATTTTTTATCTCCTTTCGCACTATTCATTCCCGAAATCATGGAGGCGGACGAGGAAGATAAATCTAGGTTAAAATCCTGCTCCAAATCTTTTAAATGCGGGTATATTAATTTAAAGAGTAAACATATATGGATTTTTTTTGTGATTTTCAAGAATAAATAATTATTCATAGATGCAAACAAGTGGATATTTTGTGATTTGAAATTGTTTGGAAGATGCGCCAATGGTTTGTTGTGATCTCTCATAGTGTTGAGAAACTGTAGAGATAAACTCGTTGCATCGGGTATATTAATTTGTTGTGATCTCTCATAGTATTGAGCAAGACTTCGACCCAACCCTTCTTGAAGGTACATTTTGGTTGCATATTTTTATATGCTGGGATATTTGTTTTGGGTACTTTGCATACCTCATTAGCTCCTGCTCGTTTATGTGTCTCGTTGCGAGGTAGGTCGGTGCATGGATCGGTCGCCGACGATTTGAAGCAAACAAAGAGAATACGTCTGCAACTGTCACGGTGGTAGTATTTTCTTAATTGTCAGTTTTAGGATTAGTGGTGTCTAGGTGTGTGGGTTTGATCGCCCACACATGGTGCGTGCGCCGATGTGCCTATGTGATTGATCGTTGATTTACCTATATAGAGTTGGTTGACCAAGTTCTATACGAAGCAAAGTGATTCCTTGTTGTGAGCCTTAGACATTGATCTCTGTGAGTTGGAATCCCAATTTCCCACAGCTTTGGCGATCCTAATCTCCCTTGAATGGGTTAGTTGAGTTCGATCGTAAAGGATGAGAAAAACTTTGTAACTAGTCCGTTCTATAAGAT